ATAATAATAATAATAATAAGTTAGTATAACTGTATAAATAAACTTATATTTTATTAGAGAAAGTAAATAAATATCAAATAGTTAGTAATGATTTATTACTAATAACCCATATTACGGGTTGCTTACAGCTAGTTTAAATTATTTGTATAAATTTTATAAAATTTTATTATCTAAATTGAATTTGATATAGTTTGTAAACTGCTGGATACCTAGTTATCATAAAGAAAAAAGTTTATTATAAAATATTAAACAACTTAGAAAATTCCCCTACCAGATAAAAACCAACGTAGCAATCCATAAAAATAGTGTAAACAATGTTATAAGAACTAATAAAATGCATATACTAATATTTTTTTGCGAGAAAATTAAAATACTGTAATTTTTGTGATATATTTCCTTCTGGTAAATTCAGCAAAAATTTATATTAGCAATGTCAATAAAATATATATATATGTCAAAAAAAAATTTGTTTGGAACATTTAATGTTGTCAGAAATTATGTGAAAACCAATTTAAAAAATGTTCTGCAACATAAAAGAGTTTTTTCATTTTGCTTGTAAATAGTGTATAAAACTATAAATTGTAAATAACTTAAAAAACGTACCTAAAACAAGTTGCTTTAATTTTAGCTCAACTAAAACTAGTTGACTATTTTTCTAGTGTTTCTCAATTTAGTTAAGTAATATTTTTGCATTGCTATAAAAATAGATTTTATTGAACCCTAGTAATTTTAATTTCCTTAACAACAGCCATAGCAACAGGCACTATTTTTTACCTTGGCTAAAAAATAGTTTAAAATCCTTATTTTTGCAGTATGTTTTTTATTTATTCCAAATATAAAATATCTTGAAAAACAATTAAGTATAAAAAAAGTAAAACCCTTTTGTAAATTATGCTAATAAAATTGCGTTTACAAAATACTTTATAGTTTTGGCATCAATATCAACATATATATCCAATTCTGTACTGTATTTCAACTATGATTTTATGAGTACTTTTTGTCTTTGTACAAATTAAGTTTGTTTTGACACATTATTTAACTGGAATGCAAGGCAAGATTATTTAAAAATTTTGTAATTCTTTAAATAACCAAGCCATGATCACATTTACATTCACATACATACACATATAAGTTGAACCATTTTTTTGTTCTATTTTAGCAAATTACTTTGGTTAACTCAAACTTTTCATATAAGAATAAAGAAACTAAAACAAAGAAACAACTTGTATGGTGTGATTTCTTAAACTTTTTTAAATTTTCATACCATACAAAAAATAAATAACAGTAGAATAGGGTAATATTTTTTAATGTTACTCCATGCTACTATTATTTGTTACAGGGTTTTTGTGTATAATTTAAGAAAGGTTTTGTAAAATTTTTATTATATCGTTAAATCTCTTTCGATTTATGATTGCAAAATACCAACTTTTTTATTTATCACGTGATAAAATTATGTAAAAATGTACACGTCATTTTGAAGCTGTTTTCAATATGAAGACCTCACGGTATTTTACGAGTTTTTGCGTTGTTTCAGGAAAAACAATACAAAAACTAGTAAGTTTTTTTTAGGAATTATTTCAAATTTTTGGTTTTTATATCTGTTCTATAGAAACTTGTTATAGAAAATTTAATTAACTTAAACCTAATTCTTTTTTTTTTTTTTTTTTTTTTGCTTTAAATTTTCACAACTACATATTAATTACAAATTTTTTTTACTGCAATGTTATAAAGAAACTGTACTTTCTAAACAAAAAAAAAAATAAAAATACATTTTACAAAATACCGTTAGGTATAGGAAGCAATAATTATGTATGCTTTGACTTGATAAGAAGGGTTTTGTTGTTGTAGGGAACTCGTAGAAGACTGAGATTAGTCTTATCATCGAGAACCTTGAGGTATTGCGTAAAGCACACATATAAACAATGTGATTCTCATTAAAGAAATGTTTTACGTGTTATTATTGCAAACTTTTTTTTTCTTTTCTTTTTAATTGAACTATGTTTTGTGTTAGTGTTGAGGTTTATAATAATAATACTAGCTTTATTTGTTAAACAAAAGTTCACATTTTCCATATATATTTGATTGCTGATTATTTTAATTTGAGCGTAAATTTTGATTTACCATCAGAACTAGAACATTTCTAGGTAATTATCCATATTAAGAACATGATTTTTGAGTTTCGACTTTAAAGAAGTTATATTATCTGGGAGAGAAATCGAGGTATAATTCGGAATTAATTTGTTGAGTAAATACGGGCCACGATAAGAAAAAGAAAATTGAGAACTTTTATTTTTCAGGGGTACAATAAAGTTACTAGTTGCTCTTGTGTTAAATTTGTTGATATTAGATTGAAAGAATTTTCCTGTGAATCCGTTTAGAACTAATCCTAGTTTGTATTTAAGCATGAACAAAATGCTAGCGTAGATATTAATTTAGTAAATGTTTAGTGCTTTCATTTCTTTTAATAGGGGTTTAGCGTGGGTCAGTTTGTTTTTATGATGTATTATTCTAGAAGCATGTTTTTGTCGTCGATAAAGAGATATTAATTTTGTCTTGTGTGTGCTTCCCCAGGCTATGTTGGCATATGTGAGATAACTATGGATAAAGGAAAAGTAAAGAAGTTTTAGGTTTTTTTGCGATAAAAATGGTCTAGCTTTAAAAAGTATACCAATACTTTTAGATATTTTAGTGTTGATGGCATTTATATAAGCTGTCCATAAAACATTTTCGTCAATAATCACACTAAGAAATTTAATTGTTTGGGTTCTTTCAATTTTTTTGTAGTCATTACTTAGTGTCGGTAGAATTGATGGTAGTTTGTTCTTCTGTTTCTTTGAGTGAAATAAAATATATTTAGTTTTTTGCGCGTTTAATTCTAACCTTAACACTTTCTCTAACCCTAACCATGACAATACTTTGGCCTTATCAAGGGCGAATGGAAAAAAACTTTTTTGCCAGCCTTTAACTTTCTTTTGAACAAAAAATACTAAGAAGTGACTATGTTGTCAAAATATATTCTCTAAAATCAAAAACTTTGCTTATAGTAATATATATAATAGTAATAGTATATATATAATAGTAAGAATATTATTTAGGTTGGTAGTTAAAGTCAGATTGTTTTACAGAATTTTTGAAAATAGGGATGACGGATGCCGCTTTCTAGCAGGTTGGAAAACAAGACTGATGAGCACTATTTACATATATTTATAACAAGTATGTTTTCTAGACCACAAGCTATAGAGAAGTCTATGCAGAACATCACTTTAGATACAGAAGCTAGTGTAATTTGAATGTCAACCTGTTTTAGGATATAATATGTAAAATGTCATTAGTAGAATAAAGAGTTAAGATTGATGAAAGGTTATTAATAAACAATTTAGCTTTGCCTTTACGTAAGGCAAAAAATCTAAACCACACAAGATAGATGGATTAACAAATTTACCCTTATTAAACAGACTGATAAAGATTCTCTAAAAGTCTCTAGAGCCCTATTTCAGAAATGAAATACAAGATTTAATAATAAAAAGATAAGATAAAAAAGAAAGACCTTTTTACAATGGTTTTTAGCAATAATAAATATAAATTTGGTTTTTTGGATAACTGTTTCTAGAGAATTGCTTTCCCGAGAGTTGTAGAAGTAAAGGTTACAATTTTAATCGTAAATATTTTTGCAATTACTTTGTATTTAAATACGTATTTGACTTAATATTATATTAAAATCGAAATCGCAATTAATTTAAAAATTTTAATAAAGCTATGAAGCCTATATTTCAGGTCTACATCTTTATCTTAAAATTGCCTCACTTCCCTATTACATTAATGACCTGTGCAGTCTTATAAGCACATTAAACATCATACTTATGGCAATAGAAATTTTTTAATCCAACTTAAACCTTAATGATAACAATTTAACATACAAAACTGTTAATGGATTCAATATTGAGCATTGCCTCACTGAGGACAAAAAAGGTAGTGCTTGTTTATATCAACTCGTTTCTCTGCGCAGCGGCCTGGTTCATCAAGGTTCGTGTTTTGGAGTTATAGAGTTAAGAGAGGGTTATAACCAACTACCTTGATAACTTATGTTATTACTTGATTAATTCTTCCTTAATCCTACCTACTCGTATAACAGCTAAATATTAAACACCCATTAATAATATCTCTATGAAATTCTACTCAGTAGTAGGAAAAGGAGAGTTCTGGGTCATTTTCATTTTCAACCATATTTTCAACCATATTTTCAATTAAATATATGTCTCACTTTCAAGCATAGTTTGTATAAATTGTATCATAAGAAATAAACTTTTAAATCAATTTTTTAGATTTAAAAATTAATGACCTGTGCAGTCTTATAAGCACATTAAACATCATACTTATGGCAATAGAAATTTTTTAATCCAACTTAAACCTTAATGATAACAATTTAACATACAAAACCCTGATGAGAGCAGCCGTGGCGCAGTGGTTAGAGTACTGGCTCAGAACCCAGAGGTCCGAGGTTCGACGCCAGCTCCAGCCCAAAAAGCGACATTGGTACGGAAGGAGGCGTGAACTTTCCATTAAATGCTCTCCCGCGGTGCTCTATGATAAGACCGTAAGGACTTCTGGGAGCACCTGAATACATACAAAAAAAAAAAAAAAAAAAAAATCAGTGCCAATTTCGTATCTTGCGGACGTCATAGGTCACGTGACTTGTCAGTGCGCATGCGCTAGTTCTCTTTGAGACCCAGATATCGTTAGGTCCCAAAGGGATCTTTGCTTCGCTAGGTCCTGAAAGGGCTCATGCTACGCTCAGTTCAAAAGATCTAATATATATATATATATATATATATATATATATATATATATATATATATATATATATATATATATATATATATATATATATATATATATATATATATATATATATATATATATATATATATATATATATATATATATATATATATATATATATATATATATTGAAATTTGCTTCCATTCCAGATATAAGTTGCCCTAATCGATCAGAAATTATAACTGCATATGCCATAGTATTTGCTGGAACAGCTGTATTAAATGTTGCTTTAACTTGAACATCTACTATTGATGGCTTTAATATTGCTGATTGTTTACTTACATCAAAAACAAAAGTGGATATAAAGTTTTATAGTCTTGAAGATTTATGCTGCATTGTGATTTAAAATCTTTCATTCCATAAAACTTTTTAGTAAATAGAGCTGCATCTCTATAAGCTCTTGAAAATTTTTGATCTGAGAATGGTAGATTATAATTACCAATTTCAGGATACCTTCGTGAATTAAGCATTACGTACATATTTTTCAAGTCACAATGATCAAACATTGCAGGATTTTGTTCTTGACTGTTATTTTTATTTGTTTGGAATCCAACAATGATAAATCTAGGTCTCGTACTAGATGATGTTACATTCAGCGTCCAAGTAAAATTGGTAGTTTGTGGAACAATTATCAATTCACTACTTCTTTCAATATAAGATACTGGAAGTGTTACTTTTGATTTAATTTCTTTATTAAGCTTAAGTTCATATTCAAGAGATGGTTTAACATGTGGCATGAAAAGTGATACTTTAGTAAGATTGACTTGCCCAGCAGCTGTACCAGCAGCTCTAAAAATTGCATTATTATCATTTTCTTTAATTAGAGTAAGTGTATGTGTTAATCCATAAGCAACTTTATCATAAGTATTACAGAATCCAAAATTATGTTTTAGAGGAACACAAAGGAAAATTTTCCTTTTGTATTTGGCTGTTGAATTAAATAAGATTGTCTTGTTGAAAATCCTAATATTGTAGCAATTGCTGCAGTCGTTGATAAATCTTTAAACCATAATTGGTTCAAACCTTGAACATTTTGAAAGTAATTAGGATATTTGAGCAATCCTAACATTGTAGTTGCTCTACCTAAGTTATTAATATTTTCTTCAGTTTGACCAGATAATTGATATTCCGCTCTAGTAAATAAGTACATAAGACCATTGTTTACAAGTGTTACAGCATCTCCATTAGCATAAGATGCTCCATCTGCTTTTAGAAGTCTTCCTTCAATCAAAATATAAGCTTCAGATGGAAGTATAAACAAGCCTTCCTGATTAATAGTGATTCTTATTTCAGTACCAGAATTATCTAAATTTGTAATTTTACTTTGATAATCATGGTAATCAAATTTATCAATACTCTCATCAATTATTGCTTTTTCTGTAAAATTTAATGTGTCAGAAGTTGCCATTTTTTATTAACAAGATAATTTTTTTTAAATTATTTTTAACAGTCAGACTTTTTTTAAAATTTATTTTAATAATATATCTAGCTAATCTAGCAAAGCTAGTATTTCTTTGGATTTACACTGTTCTGAAATCTAGACATTCTTTAACTCTTCTCTCTTTAGTTAAAACTTGTATTCTTATTGCATTTGAAATTTTCTTTTTTGATTTATTGTTACTAGATTTATTTGCTGATCTAAACATAATTTTACTTAAATCTGTTTTTACTTCACTAGATCCTAAAGGGATCTTGACTTCGTAAGATTTTTTGGATCCATAGGAACTAGATGGATTATTAGCTACAGATTCAATTAAATTTAAAAGAATTTGTTTACTTTCAGGTCTGAGCTCTTTAATTGATTTATTTGCTTTCGTATTATTTTTTTTCCTTTATTTACTACGACGTCTTTAGCAGAAGATGCTGCAGAAGTGGCAAGTTCTTTTCCTGCAGACTTTACAGCATCTATTGCAGTTTTTTCCTAAATCATTAGCAGCTGCTTTATTAGCTAAAACTCTAGATGTTTTTAGTGCATTTCTTGATGCTTGTCTCTGAAACATACTTCTCATAGAACTAAAAAGTCCACTTCCACCAATAACATGTTTCTTAATATATCTCTTATTATTTATAATGAGCATTTTTATTTAGTAACTATTTTTTTGAATCACTCTGTGATTCATGCTTTGCTAATCTTGATCCTAAAGGGATCTACATAAATTTATACTTTGTTGAGCTTTTCAATCCTAAGTACTTATTTTATCTATTTTCCTAAATCACTAGACAACATATTCTTCATAGCAGATAATGTACTAACTAAATCTGAAGATTTTGCTCGATTATATAGATTACTAATATCATCAAATATTCCACTTCCACTAACATTAATCATTTTTTGTATCTCTTTATAATATTCAGAATCAATTACACCTTGACGTAACAACTCATCACAAATTGCAACAGCTTCATTTCTAGCTCCAGTATTACCTGCTTTTAACGCAGATATGCGTAATTGAAGCATTTTAACTAGTTCATCTGGATCACTAGGAAGAATTACTACTCCTTTTCCAGGTTTTCAAGTTATTTCTTCCCAAATTGGTTTTATTATTTCTTTGTACTTATAACTTCTAGATGATATTGGTTTTATTATTTCTTTGTTGTATAACTTCTAGATGCTTATCAGGATTTAGATTAGTACGAATTGCAACGAATTGTACGAATTGTCTGATCTAAATATTCTTTATACTTATTACGATCATCATTAGTATATTTAACAGGATGAGATTTAACTATTATCTCCCAAAGACCAGATGTTTCAAATTATTTTTTACCTTCAATAGTTATACGATTACCTTCATTAGTTATCGGTTTTTTACCAATGTAAAATTTTTCATCATCTTCATTGTAATGTATACCGAATATGTCATCTGATACTTTTTTTACTATTTTTAGCAGTATATAACTTTAGATATTCAGTTGCGATAGCTCCTAATGTCATGTTATTTACAACTTCAGGTGATATGATTGCTTTACTTCCATGTATTTCCTCAGGATTTAGCAAAGCTGGGATTCTTTCAGAACTTGAAAAAGTAATTGCAAATTGATCAGCTTTATTTTCTAATTTAGATAAACCTTCTTTTATACTAGATTGGTTATCTATTATTGGTTTGTGCATTTTTGTTAAGATAATCTGTAAATCATCAGCGCCTAATATTTCATTCAAAGAATATTGTGTTTTTAAATTGTTTATTTTCTATAAAAACTGCCTAATTTTTTTTTTTTTTGTTTTGTCATTAAAATATAATGCTTTACAATACTTTTATAACATAAAAGTTTAATTTTAAAGTTTTGACCGGAACTGGCTGAATACATGGTCTTATCATTCAGATTTCATCCTTTTTCAGAAAAAAAGCTCTTGTAAATAAAAAGTGTCATTAGAAATAAAAAATAAATTTAATATATAAACTAAGCTATTTTTACCCTGTGAAGTATGTGTTTTGAAATCATAAAACTAGTAAGTATAGTGTCGTTATACTTTTTACTTTTTTATAAAAAGCTTTTTATAAACACATAAATGTTTGTGTTTGTAAATAATTTTCGGAAATGATCCATTTACAATGGATAAAAAGTGGAGCCATATAATCAAATGTAGGGCAAATTTTATGTGTGATCTCAAAAGCACAAAACATAAAAATATGTTATATTGTTAGAACTGGGGTTAAAAGTATACAGGTTATTATAAAAACTTTTTTTAGATGAAAAACCTGTTGGAAAATAATTTTTTTTATCTCTTGATCTAAAGTTTTTAAATTTGTCTTAGCAAATCTGATAAGGTTAATCAGATTGTGATTGTAACTCTTTTAAAAGTCTTCTACTTGCTCTTAAGCTTTCTTGATTTTGTTGTAGAGATACAACTTGATTAATTTAAGTTTAGCTGTCTAATAAAATTAAAATAGATAAATATTAATTGTTTTCACAATAAAAATAATATTTTTTATTCTTATTATTATTAATAATTAAAAACAATGATACTTTAAATAAAAAAGTGTCCCTGATATATAACATAGCCGTTAAATTAAAAACTTTTATTAAATGAAAATATAAATTTAAAATTCACAATACAATATACATTTACAAAGTGTGATTTATGAAAGCAAAGCTTGTGAGTAGCGCAGTGATTAGAGTTCTGGGTTCAGAACCGGAGAGCCGAGGTTCAATTTCGGCTCCAGTAACACAAGTGACATTTTTTTAAGTTGTAAGTTTAACTTTTTTTTACAGCAAAAAGCTAAACTTACAACTGTATAAAATAAATATAAACATTGCTATATTGGACAAAAATAAAATATCGTACAATTAAATATTGAAAAAGTCTTCTATAGGTCTGACCCGTATCATGTATTCTTCTAAGTGCAGTTTATGGAAAAGTAGAAAAAACATATACTTTGTTTTCAATAAAAATAGAACTTTATTTTTATCAAAAAAAGTTTTTTTAACTCACTGAAAGTTCTAAGTAAAACATATACCACAAGTTTTACAATTGATAACATAATCAGTATCAATAGTTCTAAAAATGGATGTTATTGATTTCACAGTTGATAGCAGGATCGTGCATAAGAAAAAATGATATGTTTTTAAATTATTTTTGTCATTATATAAACATTTTCCTACATATCTAGCAAATGGTATCAAAACTTCATCTTGATGTTCTTTTCAAGGAAATTAGGAACCGATATTTCAACTTCTTTTATTTCTTTTTTCAATTTTAATTTCATTTTTATATTTGTAAAGGGTATTTAAGTTTTCCGCTAAAAAAGATTTAACCAAAACTGTCACGGTTCCTTCCTTAATAATAATCCTTACCTGACCATAGCTGAATTCTAGTCTTTGTAATTTTCAATGGTAACCCATTGATGTAGCAGTGGTAACTTATTATTTTATCAGATTAAGTTGGTTTGAAAAAGTAGTTAAATGTTTTGAAAAAAACTCTTATATTATCAATACTACACAATTGGCATCAGCATTGATTTCATCTCATTATCGTGCTTTTCACTTTGGTGTTACGTTGTTTAACTAAATCTCATCCTCATTCTGTGACATTCCCTAGTACATTAAATATTCTTAATTGTTTATTTTTTTCCTCGCACATAAGTGCTTTTTAATTTGTAATTACTTTATCTTGTTATACTGATTTCTAACAATCGGTCTAATTGTCTTTACATATACACTCTATCTTGGTTCTTCCAGAACTTTAAACTCTGATAGTGATTACTTGCATTCTTGTTAATAGCAAAATTTTAATTTTTTTTTTTTTTATTATTTCGCTACATATTGTGGTACATAGTTTAATTGCTTCTACTTAAAAGTTTTTCTTAAAATTGTTAAGTCGTTTAACTCTGATTAGATTCCTACTAATCAACTAGAAGTCGATTTGTAGGAATCTAAAAGTCTTTATATCTTTTTGTAAAATTTAACTTTTCAATTTGTATCTTTTGTTTATTCATATAATAAGAATATAATATACTACTATAACTATTGCTTACAGGTTTTGTGTACTCTTCTAAAGTTTGATAAAATTCATAGCGTATTAACATGCAATAATTTTTATAAAACTTTTTTTTTATGTATAAATAAACTTTTGGTTAAGTATTTCTTCAAATTATTTTTTTTATGTTTACGCTATGCTTGTGATGTTTATTAATATTATATTAATATGTTCATACAGAACTGCTATAAGCTGGCTCGGGACTCCTAGACAAAATTAAATGTCGAAGCTCGAAAATTTAAATATTATCTTTACAATAACATTGAATGCAATAACATAAGTTTGATTGTAAAGACTTTTTTAAATTAAGGCGGACTAAATAGTTGAGTTCTGGGAATAAAATGCATTGTTGTCGGAAGCGGCTTTGTTCTCTAATTAAGTGTCTACTTACGTGTCATGGGCCATACCAATAGGTGTGTGTGTATATATATATATATGTATGTGTGTAAAGGGAAAGTTGCATTCTTAATGATTTAAAATATTTTATTAGATTTGAGACTCTTTTTGTCAAAACTAAAATTTGGTTTCAAAGAAAGAAAAAGAAAAGAGACTGTTTATAGGAAAAAATAGTTTTTTTACAATTATACTCTCAAGATTGTTCTTCTGCATTCTTTACTATTATTGCAATAAGTAATGTCTTTTAAAGATTCTGATAAACAACAGGGTATGTATTACATTATAAATGAAAGCCCAGAAAACATTGTTTAATGATTTTGAAGTGAAACTTAATAGGCATTTTTTAGCGGTTCATTGGAGTTCGGATTATCTGTTACTTAGTAGGCCAGTAGTGGCAGCCATTATAAATCGCTGTTCAATAACTTTTCGACATGTTTATAGTGACTAGTCATTGGCTAGCCGCTTTTGGCGGCTACTACTAAACAAACGACAAGGAAAAAGAAGACTTTTCTTAATTGTTGCAACATAAGAAG